CTACCTCAGGTTTTATTTTTACCTTGGGTGGTGGTGGTATATGTTGGAAGTCTAAAGAACAGACTATAATTGCTAATTTTACAATGGAAGCTGAGCTTATAGCGTTAGATTTAGCATGTGAGGAAGCAAATTGGTTGAGAGATTTGTTATATGAAATCCCTTTTTGGGAAAAACCAATTCCTCTTGTGTTAATTCATTGTGATAGCACTACTACTATTGGTAGAGTGAATAATCATTTTTATAATGGTAAATCCAGACCTATTCGAAGGACACACAGTAATGTGAGATCCTATTTAAGTAATTGTAGACACCCCATTTCTGACCGTCCTCAAGACTTGGACGTCACCGTTTGAACACTCGGTGATCATCCATGTTTGTGTTCGTTTGGAGTTCCTGGAGGTCTCGGCTACACGCCTTGTCTCAGAATATCCGAACTCGACTGTTTAGTGTCTGGTTTTGCACCAAACACTTGTGTTTTGCCTTGGAAGGGCAGGGTAGGGCTTGTGGACCATCCCCACCCATCACCGGCAGTGGCTAGAGGCCACCGGCTGGTTTTTGCTGCCACCGGCAATGTATATTGCCAATGTATATTGCCGGCACTATTTGTTGCCGGTCAGCACTATTTAGTGCCGGCCGGCACTCTTTTTGGCCAAGATGGCAATTTTGGCCGGCCGATTACTGTGCATCTGCTTTTGCAAATATTTTAAGACAACTGTCTTGCTTTTGCTCCCCTCCATACACGTGTATGGAGGGATCTCCCTCTTATGAAGCTTGTCTTGTAAGCTTCTTTGTTGCCGGTCGGCAGTCCATTTTGTCAAAATGGCAATTTTGAGCAGCCGACTACTGTTCATCTGCTTTTACAGATATTTTAAAACAGCTGTATGGCATTTTGTTCCCCTCCATACACGTGTATGGAGGGATGGCTCCCTTGTTAGCTTACCTTGTAAGCTTTGCAAGATTGGCTCCTCTATAAGAGGAGCCCTCCCCTCTTGGCTTTGGGGTTAGACAAAAAGGTTAGAAAATATACAGAGGAGAGCTCTGGATTAGGGTTAGGGTTTGTGTCACACCTATCTCTATTTCTCTCCCTCTTTTTACCTTTGTGTGTGTATAAGTGTATTTGTGTCTTAGTATTGCACACAAACACATAGTGTTACACCTTCCCTTAGCTACTGAGGTTCTAAGAGGTGGTTCTTGAGGTTCTTGGGTGGTTTTAAGCTTGGAGGAGTAGCTGGCCCACCATTGGTGAAGAAGGTCTTCAAGGGTAACAATTTTACCTCTTTTTACCCCATTTTTGCATTGTATTTTTACCTATCTTCGAACTATTTTTGAGCTTAGTGTATAATACAAAAAAGTTCTATTTTTAGGCCCTCTAAATA